TACGAAAGCTGTATGAGTCTAAATGCGTTGAGAGATATTGATTGACAGGGCGACCCTCAGGTTGTTCCCATAAATGCGATATCCCTTTGGTCTGATGACTGACTGACTGATAATCCCTTTGGTCTGATGACTGTTGTCTAGTAGAAGTCATTACCTTAAATGGTGATCGTTGATTTTGGTTATTTAGGCCTCAAGTTGCGCCAGCAACAGCTACAGGACTTGACACTTCAGTGCAAACGATCTCTGATCATCTAAAGGTTCAACTTCTCATTAGAAGTTTCCAAGTGAGTTTGCCTTTTTCCGGAGTGACAAACCTACAAACCTCCTACCCGACTTTGGAGTTAATCGATGATCGGACTAGACTTTGTTAGGTCCCTTAGAACTACCTAGTGTAATAACTATTTCCTCGAACAAAGTTAAATTTTGAGTAGTTCTGTATCTGTTTTCTCTGTTTCTTAAGCTCCCGTTGGTTTACAGACTCGTGGCCATAATATAGCCGATCTCGACCCTCTAGGAATCAATAGCGCCGATCTCGATGACACCATACCGCCGGAACTTGAGCTTTCTTTCTATGGATTCGGAGAACGTGATCTGGACAGGTAGTTAACAGTGTCTTATAATTGTCTTGGGGCTCCCGAACAGCTTAGTATGGATCTGCCCTATCAATTCATGATTGGACTGTTTTCAGAGAGTTTTTGCTACCACCAACTACTTTCATCGGCGGTGATAAGCAATCCCTCACTCTGCGCGAAATCCTGCACAGGCTAAAGGTAAGTTAGTTCGTCGGAGTATAGTTCGTTTAATAATTTTCCGCTAACAACAACTGTTGCAGCAAATTTATTGTAAAACCACTGGTATTGAGTATATGCACCTGAACAATCTTGAACAACAAGAGTGGATTCGTAAGCACTTCGAAGCACCCCGTGTAACAGAGCTGTCGCATGATCAGAAGAAGGTGTTTGTGTTATGTTATTATATGTATTGAATTTATTAACCACTTCCTCTCTGGATTGCCCACCCCGTTTTCTTCTCTCTGTGGGATATAGCAATTTCCCTCTCGTTCTTGGCCAGTTAATTCAGTGACTGAGATCATCGGTGATTTCCTTACTCATTCTAGGTGTTGTTCAAACGTCTCATTCGCTCAACCAAATTCGAGGAATTTCTCGCCAAGAAATGGCCCAGTGAGAAACGGTTCGGTTTGGAAGGATGCGAGGTCCTGATTCCGGCTCTGAAGCAGGTAACATTGCCTATGATAAGCGATCAGGGTTTGTTTCTGAATTTCTTCCTCTTGTTTNCTGTTTATTTTTCAGACTCGTGGCCATAATATAGCCGACCTCGACCCTCTAGGAATCAATAGCGCCGATCTCGATGACACCATACCACCCGAACTTGAACTTTCTTTCTATGGATTCGGGGAACGTGATCTGGACAGGTAGTTAACAGTGTCTCATAATTGTGTTATCACTCCTGAACAACTTAGTATAGATCTAATTCTTTTAATTTTGACTGAACTATTTTTCAGAGAGTTTTTGCTACCACCAACTACTTTCATTGGCGGCGACAAGCAGTCCCTCACCCTGCGCGAAATCCTGCACAGGCTAAAAGTAAGTCATTTCGCAGGAATATAGTTCATTCAAAAATTTTACGCTAATAACAACTGTTGCAGCAAATTTACTGTAAAACCACTGGTATTGAGTATATGCACCTGAACAATCTTGAACAA